CGAGCCAAAGAAAGTCAGTGTTGCACAAACATAAAGAGACACAAGGCACGCACCAAGTTACGGGATTACTAAGAAGAGAACTGCACCAATGAAACCACAAATGTGCTATTTCTGAAATTAACTCTTTGCCGACCTAACTTTACCCCTTGCTATGTACTGGCAAAAATCTGCCCCAGTATAAGTTTAGACACACTAAGTCTACTCTTGTCAGCTTTTAGTCCTGTCTTCCATTTTATGGATGGTAAAATGGCCAGGACAAAGAGGTTTATATAACCATTAACACTAAAAATGAGTTCCAAGGCCTCAATTCACTGTGCTATATCAAGCAAAGCTAAAAGTTCATTTTCTGGGTCATATCCATGCAGTTTCTCTCTTTGGTGGTTATTGCCGTATTTCTTTCTACAGGAAGGAGGAGGTTACTTATTTCCATAAAGGAAAGTAACGGCCTTAGGAAAATCTGATACCCAAGAGTCTTATTATCTTAGTCTATCAGATTTCATTTGCCAACTCTCAGAGGTTCAGCCATTTCTGCAGCACCCAACGGACTCTTCTATGTTTGGAGTTTATGACATCGAATACTTGCATCTACCTCATCATTACAAAGCTCATTTTCCTGAAATATCACACTCACAGGATAACAGAAGAAAAAAGTCTCAGGATGTAAGGTAGACTTCTCCAAGAGCTAATGTAGTATGTTTGAATGTAATGAAATTTACACTCCAGGCCTCCCAGGCTCCTTTCAGTTCGGGCAGTTTTTATTCTCTGCATTTTTCCTTTTTTTGCCGGTACCTGTGTTCTAATGCTTGCTTCCCAACCCAAAAGCCCCCAAATCCTGTCCTTTCCCTGCTGCACAGCTCTTGCCTGTTAACTCGTTTTTGGAATTGCTGAGAATTCTCACATGAGAAATCTGCCTACTCTATTTGGCAAATCAGATCCTTCTAATGTATACTTAGCTTGGAAGCAGGAGTGGTATCCACTTCCGTAGTAGCTTGCCTCCGGAAACCCTATGAACCTGAAGAGAGGATGAAAGTCACACAAGTGTTGTGGACTTTCCTTCATAGGGTCGCTATAAGTCGCCTACGACTTGACAGCACTTAACAACAACAACAATGTATACTTAAATCCAAAGGAATAAACCACTTCTCAAAGGATTAGTCTCTTCTTATAGAAAATAGGAAAAGAAGTTTGTGAAATTATAATATTTTAGCAACTTTGCTTCTACAGTAAAACTGCTTTTATAGCTATCTGGAAAGCTGAAGTCTATACATGGATCATAATTTAGGAACTCAAACTTCAGCTACTGAGTAGACAGACTGCTGTTGTTGTTAGGTGCTGTCAAGTACGACTCATAGCAGTCCTACGAACTCTATCCTATCCTGTGCCGTCTTCATTATCTCTGCTGTCTTTGATCCCATTGCTGTAGTCACTGACACAGTGACTATAGTGATTGAGTAGACAGATAGAATAGGATTTTAAAATTCCCAAAACCAAATCTGTTGCTGTCAGGTTGATTTCAACTCAGAGTGATCCCACAGGGCAGAGCAGTACTGACTCACAGGGGTTTCCAGGTCTGTTATCTTATTTCCCCCCATCTCCCAAGGCTATAATCTTTAAGGAAGCAAATGATGACATTTTTTTCCTGTAGAGCAGCCTGTGGATTCAAACCACTGACTCTCTGTTGTAGTGGCTGCTGTTCAGCAGCCAAGTGCTTAACCACTAAGCTGCCAGAGCTCACTCTCCGTTCTAGTAATGGGTGTCACATTAGCCTTGTGGTTAATAACCAAGCTCTGAACCACTGTGTTACAAGGTTAAATTCCTCTTCCAAAGGAGTTTATTATAAAAAAGACTATACATCAGGGGAGCTCTGGTGGCCTAGTGGCAAGAAGCTGCAACTACAATACCAGAGGTACATGGTTCGAATTCACCAGATGCTCTGCCGGGGAAGGAGGGGCAGATCTGATTTGACGGTACACGCACACAAAAATAATAAAATTTTAAAAAAAAAGACTATACATCAAGTTGATGAATGACTAATTCTAAGGAGTTTAATCACCAAGGACTATCACTTTCTAAGTTAAACTATTAATGGTATGTTTTCATTTTTAAAAAGTGTATCGGAGATGAGGATGGCACAGGGGGAGGCAGGGTTCGGCTCTATTGTTCAGAGGGTTGCTAGGAGTCATCGTCAACTCCAGGGCACCTAACAACATAGCAATTATTTTGGTAATTGGGAAAAAACATCTTCGAAATGAGAGAAGCACACTGGGTCAATCTATGTGTTGTGTGCTAAATCAGAACTGACCCACAGATGACCCTCCAGTGGGTTTTCAGAGACAGTTAATCCCACGGGAGGAGACTGCCCATATTTCTCCTATGGAACAGCTAGTGTATTTAAACTCATGTGTTTGGGATTGCAGGAAAGCTTCTTACTATAGACTACCAGAACTCCCTGTATGTACCTAATAATTATCAAAATCCAAGGGTTAGCCAGTAAGGCGGCATCTTCAGCACTGCTCTTTCTCTGAGCAGCCAGCCTGGTCCAACTCCAGGGTAGCTCTGCAGTCCAACCAAAGTTCTACTTTGGGAAGTCACCTAATGGCAAACCTGACTGGCTAAAAGTTGGACTGCCCTTAGCACAATCTTCCCATGGGTCTATCCTATTAAGCAACATAATAAACATGTCTTAAAGTATAAAAGAAGAAATGGGTTGAAACAAACTACTGAAATACTAGTATAGTATGTCCCACACAATAATTACAGCAATACCTCCAGATTCATAAATCTTTTGATTACAAAGGTGAGGTAAAAGCTCTACGTGAAGATATATTGCCAGCATTTATGCTGCATCATTAAATATATTACCAGCATTTGTGTTGCATCATTAAAAATTAAAAAACTTCTACAGTCTTTTTAAAAAGTGCTTATAATAATAATAATATATGCTTATAATAATTAAACATTATTTTAGGAATAACTGAAAAATCTGAATATGAACTGAATATCATATGATAGAGGAATTATTGCTGATTTTCTAAGACTCCATGATATTTTTGGAGACCTAGAAAAATGTCTTTAATTTTAGGAAAAAGACGCTAAAATATTTAAGCATGAAGGAGAGTGGTATGTACAACTTATGTACGTTAAAATTATTCAGCTAAAATAACAACAGCAACAACCACAAAAAAAATTTAGAGATAAATACAGTAAAAGGTTAACAAGTATATGACAAATCACTGTACGAATCTTTCAACTTTTCCATATATCAGAACTGTTCATTAAAAGAAAAAAAGATGGCAGAGAAAAGAAAAAAATGCTAGTTCTGTTTCACCGTAAAATGAAACTCTTCTTTCCAGGGAATTTTAAAAATGGATATAATATGCTGAATCTCTTCCCATTGCCATCTCATTCCTAGCCCAACTGTTCCAAGTTATCACCAATTAAAAGACTATAGATATAACGTACAAAAAAATAAAAAAAAGGGTAAGAGACAGCAGAAAAAAAACCCTCAGACATTTTCAACAGCCAGTCCTCTCCCACACCTGCTCTGCATTTTAGGATGGATACTGACACTTCTATTTTAAGTGGTGAGGTACACAGTCCCTTGAATCTCACCTCTTCCTACTGTACTCTATACAAGTCCTCTATTTCTCACCACAAACTGATACTTTCAGTTCTTGTCCTCAAAAGGGAATTCCCTGAAGCATGTTAATCCCCCCAACTACTTCCCACACATAGTTTTTGCATCTACTTACCCAGCACTGCTAAGACTTGCTAGCTTTTATAGAGACCAATTTTTTTTCCTGTTCTATTTTTGAGTACCCTCTCTCCAGCTCCAGGTTTTCCCAACACCACCTAATTGCCATCTGGCAGTGGGAAATCACTGTTTTCCAGCAATCAGGACCATTACCCCACACAGGAGGCCCTGAAGGTTCATTCTGTCAAAGCTCTAAAGTGCTACCACCGCTCTCTTTTATTCTAGCTAAGCAACTGCGTCCTGAACCCTCCGGCTTTCTGAGCCCACAAAGTGGCATGCCTTACCTTTGGTGTCCTGCATGACAATTGAGCTGTACTTTAAGAAGGTTATCAGTAGATTACTGGTCTGTACATCTGCATCCAGTGGGAGTTCCACAGAACTTATAACTGGAATAGAACAGATGAAATGCTCTTAGCCTATAAAATATTCCAACTAACACATCTACCCACATAGCCAATATGCTAGCAGGCAAAAAAAATCACTAAATAAGCTTTTTTCCACAATGAAGGACGGACAAAATGCCTATCATGAAACTATTATCTATTCCTCCTAAGCCTTTAAACCCCTTCCGACCACCAAGATTAAGCCCAATGACCTTCTCTTCTGTGTCAGAGGGCCAGTATCCAGGTGCTTGTGTCCTATGAAAAACATGATGATACCGCTTCCAGCCCTAGTAACTTAGAAATATTCAGTCCTTTCTTAAGAGGAGTTTGATTTGCACTTAAAAGAAAGATCTTTATTGAATATAAATAAGCCTTACTTTGACAAGTCTTCTGCTTAAAATAAATGAGGGGGTTTTTTTCCTAATAAAGAGAAAATTTGCTCATTCTTTAGAACAAAGCCTTTCATTTGGAAGTACCTAAGATTGGAGGAGAAGGGATGTTAAAGAAGAATATATTCAATTTTTACCCTTGCTGCCTAACCCTAAAAGAGAATATGAAAAAGAACACCAGAGTGAAAATGAGTAGACCTTATTGAGTGGATCTGGAATGGAGTTTCATATACTCAGCTGATGTTTCCAAGGGAAAACCCTCCCTCAACTCCAGCCACAGTCCCAATGAGCAATGAAGTACAAGACCAGGACTGACCTACAACAGAATACAATTTAATACAGATTTCCCAAAACACTCTAAGGCTTTAAATTAGACTTAAATATTGTGTTAAGTGCTTTTTCACTGTCAGGCATAATATGTAAACCAAGGGAGGCTCAGGATGACCCAGACCAGCAGAGTATCCAGAGCATTCTACTGTATTTTCACCCATGAAGACTCAGCAGAGTCTGGAATATTACTCATAATATGTATTCATAACAATAATGGATCCCTCTGGAGTTATTACGATACATGCAGAGAACGGTTATTAACAATGGGAAGCATTTGCATATTATGGATCCATAATGCACAGCAAGCACAGCAAAAAGCCTTATGAGATGAAATTTGTATGTCTAATCCTTGGCTGTTTTCCCACAGTTCAGCCCCTCACAACTAATAAAAGACAAATATATTTATATGCTGAAATACTAAAAGGCCTCAATTCATGTTATGAGTTAATGATCTGAGACTGTCATTTCAAACCACAAATCTCTGAAACTCAAAGCCCATAGTCATTCCACTGTGCAACTCAAAAAAAGTATCTAACTGGTTAGTGGGACTTCTTTTCCTTCTCACATGCAGGAGTATTCGGAATACTGTCTTATATAATAGGTAGATATAAAGAAGTATGTATATTTTAGTTTACCATGAAGTCCTTTCATGCCAAGGCTAAGTTGTCAAAATGTCAAGTCTGAGCTGAGAACAAATGTTGTATCTAAACTGTTGGATTTTAAACATAATGGCTCCACTGACATGCCACTAAATATAACTAGGTTATAGAGCATCACTGCAATTAAAAAGCAAAAATTAAAACCAAGGCTACAATATTTAGGACCTCTACAGAAAAGAGATTGGGGTGGGGGGGTGAAGAACAAGATAGAACAGACAGAATAAAATCTTTCACAAATTAAAATCTCCTTCCAACGGAAGAGCTATTCCTTGATCTCTGGCTGCCTAATCCTTCCAAGCAGCCTTTGTCAAGAAAGAGAGTCATTTGAAAGTGGGCTGACTCTATCTTCCCACTAGAAAAAAATAAAAGCTCACTGGTTGTAGGTAAGTAAGTACAAATCCTGCCATTGCATAATCAAGTGTGTGGGTGGAAGTGTTCACAATGAACAGTTTGAAAGGCAGTTCTCTGAAGCATCCAAACCCCAACATCACATGGAACTCAGAAATATATATATGGCTTTTGATATCCATGGTAACCAGGCAGGCTTCATCCTTAAAGGGAAAGAACAGTCTTTCCACTGGATTATTCAATGACCTGAATAAGCAGAGATAAAGTGGGCAATCTTCACTGCTTGATCTTCTTATTACTATTTGGAAATTTGGTTTTCAATTCTAAACAGATCCAATCTGCTATCACAGACTTCATTATAAAATGGCATTTCCCTGCCATACTCCCGAACCAGCAGTGCTTGTTCTGCCACAGGTGCTATATGGCATTTTAAAGGAGATAAAGGAGAAAGTGATTTCACAAACACAGTACAGAAGTACAAAGAAAGAATCAAAGTTAAATTTCCTGTACTTCTTCGCCTAAAATGAGGTCAACATTTAAGCTACAATATCACGTAGCACATATTAAGGTAAAGGTAGTCTATCAAACACAACTCAATTTAAAAGGAAAAAGTACCTCTGAGAACAAAGTTTATTGGGCAGTATTCATAATTTCTTTTCTTTCATCCTTACGTTTCACTCATAAAAATGTATAAATGGGAAATTTTGTTGTTTTTCAGGAGAGCGAGGAGTTTTACATAACCACTAAAATCCTAATTATAATACAACTTAAAGCTATCAATTTCAACTGGGAGAGACCAGCAGACATGCCAGAGAGTTAATCTGAGCCTCACTTTCTCATGTATTAAACAAATATGTATTAAGCAATTACTGTGTCAGGCATTATGCTGGGTATAAACAAAACAAACATGGCAGTCAATGAAACAGATATGTTTTTTGTCCTGATTCATGTCTTGGGTTTTATTCTCAACTCTCACTAATCTTGGGCAAACTGTTTCACTCCTCTGGCTTTAATTCTCTCATTTGTAAACCAGTAACATGAGACAATATTACTATTTTACATTTCTTTTAGTACTTTTATGGTCACTAGGAGTGATTTTTTATAAAATTGCTCATTGGAGGCGAGCTCTGGTGGCCTAGTGGCAAGAAGCTGCACTGCAGTCCCAGAGGTGTGCTGTTCAAATCTACCAGATGCTCTGCTGAAGAAGGAGGGACAATCTCCTCCTGTACCAGTCAGATCTGATTTGACGGTACACACATAACAAAATAATAATAATAATAAAAATTTTTTAAAAAATTGCTCATTGGAACATCAAAAATACCCTGAGAAGTTGACAGGTTAGGCATTACTGACCTCTGAGGCTGTCCTTTCAGCTCTAGCATTCCATGACTCCATTACCATTCTAAGTAGGACTATCTGGGACTGATTATGCAATTTTGTTACAGAGAAGAGCACTTGACTATCTTTCCTAAAGTTTTCTTCACAGCTTCAGAAGTCTTTGTAGGACATTACCTGAAGACAAATTTTTGAACTGAAAGAATTAACTGCGGTCTTCATTCAGCACAGTTATGTTCACCCTGAAAGATTCAAATGCATACTAACTGAAAAAAAAATATTTTTTAACAGATAATGGATGCTTACCATCAGAGGAGGGTGGAGTGGTCCCAAGTGGTGTGGCTGGGGTTGTTGGAGCAGGACTGACAGGGGTTGTCACCAAGCCCATTTCTGGATGGTTCTGAAAGAGTCAAGGCAAATCATTAGGAAATCAGTTCTCCCTAAGTATCCTCTGCTTACTCTCTTTACTCATCGTCCTGACTTCATAATTAGACAGAAAGTTCACTAAGGAGGGAGCTTTACATTTAATTCCCACTAGCGCCTGATTATTATTGTTGCTTATGCTTGCTAAAATCTAATAAGCAGCTCAGTGGACTAATTTTCTTTAGGTAACTAAGTTTCCATTATATAAGTTCTTCTACAGAACCATACAAGTGAAAAATTAGGCTACAAAACATTCAAGATTATTTTATAAGAACAAGGGCACTGGCAAGGGCACTATTTGGACCTGGGAAGTAACTGCTCTCATGAGGTCAACGTAAAAACACGTATCAATGAGCTATTTTGATGATCACATCATTGGCTAACAAATACAATAAAGTCACAGGAATACCAAGAGCTATTAAAATATACATAAATAAATAAAACTGTGTAAGTGACATCCATCTCAACAAATAAGTGTATATGAGGTTGAAAGGCAGAGACATGGAAGATACCCAGTAGGCACCAAAAGGGATGACTCTCTGCCTTTCTTAGCAATCCTTATCACATCAACTATTAAAAACTAAGCTGAGTGGCAGCTGCTTTTTAATTTCCCTTCTCTTCCTCAACATCTTTATTGGCATCTTTAACCTTCCCTGAAAATCAGTCCTAGAATTTGGAAAGCAGCCAAAGAATGTGACAAAAAGAACAGAAAGAAGTTTTCCCTCTTATCAGTCTTTTAACAATGATGCACCCTCCTAAGTAGATCCCAAATCAGCACACTTTTTAAAATGCGACCTTATTTTTTAAGGTAAAACTCAACTAACGGATTCCATACACACCTGCCCTTTGAGGGAAAAAAGCATATGCAAACTTTCTTGTAAAAGAACTCCCCATACATATTTTAGACAGTCTGGCTTTAAGATAAAATCACTGTATCAATTTTTTAAGACAGCTTTCATGGACAGCACTTGAGTTCTCAGCCTATTTTAGTCCCCTTCTGTACCAACTACTGAGGATATCCGTTAGGCATGGGACCGGGTGCTCAGTATTCTATGACTGCTTGCCAGCTTTCAATGTTTGCAGACAGCTAACCTTACACAGGGCAGGATGTTTTACTATTCTTCTCTGGGAATTGGTGATATAATAAGATAAGTGACTTGGTCTATTTTATCACTGGCTGTAGTTCCACAGTGATTTAAAAAGTAGGAAGCTTAATATAAAAATGCTTATAGGCAGATAAGATGAGGAGATTTCCTGTGAGCAAAATCAAGTAATCTCAATTCTTTTAGGTTAAAAGAATTGGTGTGCTGGTCAAACCCATTAACTTTGCTTGTTATCAGAACTACTTCCGGACCAGATAGAGATCTGCAGATAGTGTGAAGCCAAGGCAATTAATGCCACAAATCTTTGCTACTACCACTTACCAGTGCAAAATAGGGATAAAATAAGCCTAGGCAGGAAACCGTGGAATAAATCTATATGAAATGCAGGTAGAAAAAGGACTGGGAGTTTTAATGTAACCCACCTGGGCTAACACTGTGATGAAATTGCGATTTAAATGAACAGCTTCATAAAGTGCCAGAAGAATGGCCTCATTGGTTCTAAAGAAGAAAAGCACAAATTGGTGAGCCTCTTATATTGGAGGAATTACACAGCATAACCATCAAAATAAGATTTCACTCCAGTTCCTCATTATCAGTTCCTCTGAGTTTCTAATGCTGCCCTTTTATTTTCCTCTTGAGTCTGTGTAAAAGGTATACAGGTGAGATTATTCCTCAGAATCTTTTTAATCCACTTCATTCACCATCTTCCCCCTCTCACTTTTCCACCCCAGACCAATTAAGTCTCTAACTGGCTCAAATAACCAGCCCTCTTCCACTTCACTCCAGAGGAAGATGTGAACAGTTCTTCAGTTTCTTTGGACATAAACAAACAGAACCAAAGCAGAAATTTCTACAGTTCATTATTATTTAAAATTGGAAAAAGAACTGATAAATCACAAAAAGGGTTTTAATCTGTTCAGGACTAGCAAGAGGTCACATTTCACACTCTTAAATCCAGCGTGAGATGCACACTAAAATCTAAATCACCGCATAAGAATGTTAGGCACTTACTGTACAGATATTTTCTCATGGGCATCTGCTATGAACATGCTGCCCACCTGTGGAAGAAAAGAGGAATTGCAGACTAGTAGCAGGGGGTGATAAGTGCAACTCACCATGCCTCAATCAAAAAACAAGTTGCTCCCAGTTAGGACCGTGGAACTTTTGGCCACTAGGCATGCATAACAAAACTAGCCTGCTTCTAAGATCCTAAGTAGTAAAGGAAATAGTGAAAATCTTACTAAGCTATGTAAAAGGGTCTTTAAAGAGACAAAAATCCCAGCTCTCATTTTCAATATGTGTATTTAGCCACCTGTGACGATGAGTAAATGTCGGCCTAGCCAGTCTCATCCCTGCATCATTCCTGGAAGTTGCTTATTTGAAATGAAAAATTACTGATGAAGAATATCACAGAAAACAGGCTGATTTCAGTTTAAACAGAACCATCTTCATGCGAATATTTACACTTCAGACCAGAGCTATCTATAATAGACCTATTCTCCATCTTTCTCAAATAAAAAAAAATCTGTATCCTATCAGAGTAACTAAATAGGTACATGCAGGGTATCTCTAATAGTAAGTGTGATGTCAGAGACACTAAGAGAAATGCCCACACTCCTTTTCCACCAGCTTACTGCTATCCAAAGGGAGCTCTGGTTGTTCAGAAGTAACAAGTTGTGCTGCCAACCAAACAGCACACAACTCTAATCCACCAGTCTATTCCATGGGGGGGGAGGGGGGAAGATGGGCAATTTCCTCTCATGTAATTTACTGCTTCTAAAACATTCATTGGAAGGTACACAATAACAACTGATCTCCAAAACAGTGAAACTGTAGCTTCATATATTTGGTAAAAATCTTTCTTTTTCCTTCACCAAAAGGCAAAGATCGATAGGAGCAAAATAATTATCTCTAATTAATATAATCCAACACCAAACACTCTAACTTCTATGAGCCGTTTTACTCATTTATGCTTCAAAATTAGGGCATTTTGGATCCTTTCCTGAAAGCAGGCTGGGAGAAGAAAGAAGGGAAAAACACAGAGGAAATGGGTGGGGGAAAACCTACATTTGTTTTCCTAATTTGTGACAGTAGAGCAGAATTACCACTCTTCATGTAATGAACTAAAAAACTGTCTTGCCCTAGAGCTGATTGTTTGGATAGGAATGCCCAAGAAAACAGATTTTCTGAATATACCATATTTGAGGACATTTATAAGGACACATTCCTTAATTTATCTCTTTTAAAAGGCCAGTTTTTTAAAAAAAGGCCTTTTAAAAGGCCAGGTCCTGGGGGGGAGGGAGAGGGGGGAGGGGTTTGTGTGGGGAGAAGGGTGCAACAATGAATGAATGGAATCCCAAAATCTCTGTAGATGTTCATTGAAATAAAAAATAAACAACCTAAATTAAAAAAAAAAAAAAAGGCCAGGTCCTATGGAGACTGGTGGACTATAGTCTTTAATCACTTTTGAACCTGGAACCAAATTCACCCCTATGCCTTAACAGTCAGCCTAACAACAGACAAGCCCAGGAGGTAACCAATAACACTAGGAAGGCACTTCTCCCTTAGAGTAACTACCCACGTGAGGGCAAAAGAGCAGTACTTGCCCACGGATGGTAGAATAGAAGGATTAACAGAAATGAGAATCATAGGGAGGAAGTGGGCCAAGAGGAATTACATTGTGGATAATGGGGTTAATATGATAAAACAAAATGTGTTTGAATGGTTGAAAGGAAAACCAATCTAGTTTGTAAACTTTTACTCAGATCACAATCAAATAAATAGATAATTAATTTGTTCCAGATTATTTGGCCCAAAATGTCAACAGGGACAAGTTTGAGGAATCTTGGTCTGGAATATTGCAAACCCAATCAAAAAGTTTCCTAAACTTTGGATTTCTTGCCTTTAGAGTAGTGACTCAGATCCATGACCCTAATCCCTCAACTGCAGAACCATCAGCAATGAATCAAGTAGTGGTCATTGCAGACATCACAGGGGGACGACACAGAACAAAATACCCTGTTCCCCACAGGATCAATCCCGAAACAGGGTCAGTTTGTTGTTGTTGTTTTTTTTTAGATGCTGGGAAAGGGTCCATTCTTTAGGAAACAAAAATCTGACATAATGTGTTCCCTCTCTTCAACCTTTAAAAATAAGTATATGAGAAAGGACGAGGGGAAGGAAAGGAGTAAGTTGCGCAACAATGAATGAATATTGTAAAAAAAAAGAAAGTTAAATGGGAGAGATGAAAGAGGTGAAGGGAGGAAAATGTACAACAAATGAATGAAAATCCAACTTTTCTGTAAACTTTCATTAAAATCACAATTAAAATAAAAAATTTATTTTAAACAAAATCCGATTTTTAAAAACCAGCCCCAGAGACATCAGTATTCTCCATTGTCCTATCTCGCTTAGTTTCGGAAAACACTAACAAAAACACACTTGTCAAAATCTGCTTTGAACAGTCTGTCTCCCCTATCATGTGATCACCTCAGAGATCTGAACTTCTGAGTAAAATGTGCCCACCCTTGGAAACCTCATGCTTTTTCTAAGTAAAAAAGAAAGACAAGTAAGACTTACCATGTTTGTTAAAGCAGAGAAAAAACCACTCTGGTGTTCTTCTTCCTTATCTTTATACTGCCTGGACAGAAAGAACTAAATTCAACTTTAGTATTATCTATCAAGTACATCTTTGTTGTTGGCAATTTTTAGGTAGGGCAGGGCACTCTCAGAATTCACTGGCTCCAGAAAACAAAGAGACAATCAACAATTGAATTGTCAACAATTTCATTTTAGTTGGATCCACAATCAACACTCCTGGTAACAGCAATCAAGAAATCAAAAGATTTAAAAAAAAAAAAAAGAAGGAATCAAAAGATTTAAAAAAAAAAAAGACATGCTACACTGGGAAAATCAGCTGTCAAGGACCTCTCCAAAGTGCTAAAGAGTAACTATGTTAATTTAAGGACTAAGGTGCACCTGATCCAAACCACAGTATTTTCAATTGCTTTCCATGCACCTGAAAGTTAGACAATGAATAAGGATAACAGAAGATTAACTGATGACTTTGAATTGTGGAATCACTGGAAAATATTGAATATCCCATGGACTATAAGAAGAAAAAGCAACGCGCAGTTTGAATCCACCAGATGCTCTCCTGCAGGAGGGAAAACCTCCTCCTGTACCAGTCAGATCTGATTTGATGGTACACACACACACACACACAAATAAAAAAAAACCAAGTAAGTCTATCTTGGAGGAAGTGCAACCTTAGAGGAAAAGATGGTGAAATCTGGTCTCCCCTACTTTGGACATGTTATCAGGAAAGCCCAGTCCTTGGAAAAAGATATCATTCTGGGTAATGTAGAGGGTAGAGGAAGATCCTCCATGAGATGGAGTCACACAGTAATTGTAAAAATGGGTTCAAGTATACGGGCTCATGAGGATGGTGCAAGACAGGGTAAGATTTAGATCTGTTATTCACAAGGGTTGCTAATAGTCCTAAGTGACTCAATGGTAACTGACAACAACAGACAATAAAAGCATTCTTTCTATCTAGCCTCTGCAAGCTGACAGTCATCCATCTGCTCTTGAGGTAGGGTGTGTACCAAAATGCCTGGCTACTTTGAGAGAGACTTAGAAAGCAAGCTACAAAAGTGTGAAACGGCTCGAACATATGGCTGATCCAGTTATTTCCCAAACAGACTATTACTTGAAAAGTGTGACAGTGAAATTACTTTAAGGCTGTTAACAGTGAAAATCTTGTTTGTTATTGAAGGAGGAGGAGGGAAATCTGTGAACTTAAACTATTTGTGGGGATGAAAGAGACTTTAAATTCCTACACCCAATTGTGTGTGAGGAAGTCTGGAGAGGAGCAAGAGCAATCTGGCCTGGCCCTGGCGAGGCTCAGGGACACTTCTGGTCTCCATTCACTGAGTAGCCAATCCTCCCCATTGCCAACAACAGGAAAGGCAAGCATCAAAAGAGCTCTAAGGCTCAAAAAAAATGTATGTAAATGTTCAAAAGGGGAATGGGAAAAGAGTAAGAAAAGGGGATAGAAGGAAATCATTACTATAGCAGAGGCTGGTGGGTGGATAGGGGTGAAGGAACAGGAAAGATTCAATGGTTACTTAAAAATACATGGCACAGACCAAAAGTAATTAATCATAAAATACAAGCTATATGAATTATTGCATAAAATACAATGTGCATAAATTAAATACAGTGTATATGAATGATTGCAGGCAAACCAGTAAAAAACGTAGTTTTTGTTGTATGGGTTTTGTTTTGTTTTCAGAAAAACCACCAGAGCCCTACAGGACTAAAAGTAAGACCATACAAAGGTTTAGCACATACTATTTCTACATTCATGTTAGTATATCCTGAACCAACATGAGTAAAGTTACATAAACTTCTTAATCATAACGAGAAACACCCTGAGGGAATGAATTCCTGATTTGGGGACCTTGAAGGGCATCAAGTTTAATAGGTGTATCACAGACAACAAAGACATTCTATTTGGTGAGTAGCAACTAAGATCCTAAATGTTTACAAGCAAACATCTGAGATGCAATACTGGTCTCTCCCTGTTCAGAACAAAGGAGGAGGGGGAAAGCAAGAGATGAAGAAATAATTAACCCAAAGGATTAGCAGACCATGCTAATCTCCAAGGCTAAAAGAAGTGCATGGTACCCACCTACCACTACTGACCACTCTGAAAGGGATCACAGTAGAAGGTCTTAGCGAGGGCAACAAATATGGAACAAAACTCAAAAATATATAAATAGTCAAGCATACTGATCTGATAGAGACTGGTGGAATCCTGGAGACCACAGTCCTTAGTCATCCTGTGAGCCTAGAACAAAACTCATCCCCATGGCTCAACTTTCAGCCAAACAACAGGCAGGTATACTATAAGGTAGACTCTAATACCAAGGAAGTACTTTTTTATTAAAGTAATCAACCACAGAGAGCAAAAGGACAGCATCTTTCTACAGATAGAGCTCAGAATGCAGAGAGGGGTAGGAGAGAGGGATTAACAGAAGCTAGAACCACAGGGTTGATGTGGGAAGAGTGTAGCTACACTGTGAATTTTATAACTGCCATAAAACAAAATGAGCATGAATGAATGAATGGAAAGACAAATGGCTTTGTAAATTTTCACTCAAATCAAAATTAAAAGAAAGAGAGCAAGAGAAAGAAAGTCCCTAGTATAGCTAATAATTTTACAGAATTAAAGTTTATTCTTGATGAAAAATAAGCTTTTTGCCTCCTGTTTCTGTATACAAGAGTTGTGTCTCACAACCTTTTTCACATGGAAAATAACATCTGTATGATACACTAGATAAATGGAAGAGCCTGCGTATAGTAGGAAAATAACTTAAAATGTTCTGTAGTAAAGGTTGCAAAAAAGAAGTGTATTGACAAATGGGTTTGTTCTAGAGGGTAGGAAACCAGGTTGCTCCTTAGAAGCAAAGATTTTAAATTCCATCTCATATATTTTGGGATTGTTGTCAGTCCTTGGAGAAGGACATCATGTTTGGAAGGGTAGAAGGTTAATGCAAAAGAGGAAAACCCTGGACGAGATGGATTCAAACAATGACTATGGCAATGGGGATAGAGCAAGGTTCAGAGCCTTTGTTCAAAGGGCCACTATGGTTGTAGTCAACTCATACCAACAACACACAATAATAAGGGCTTAAAAAAGGTGGACACTTGGGGGAGCTCTGGTGGCCTAGTGGCAAGAAGCTGCACTGCAATCCCAGAGGAGCATGGTTCGAATCCACCAGATGCTCTGCCGGGAAAGGAGGGCAATCCCCTCCTGTACCAGTCAGATCTGATTTGACGGTACACGCACAAATAATAAAATTTTTTACAAAAATTAAAAAAAAAAAAAGGTGGACACTAACATGGTGGTTGCTTTTCTCCTAGTGTTAAGAAACCATCCTTGCTAAAGCCATTAAAACCAAGCTAGAAAGGGAGCTCTAGTGGCCGAGTGGCAAGACGCTGCACTGCAATCCCAGAGGTACGTGGTTCAAATCCACTAGATGCTCTGCTGGAGAAGGAGGGGGCAAATCTCCTCCTGTACCAGTCAGATCTGATTTGACGGTACACGTAAAAATAATACAATTAAAAAAAAAAAAAACAACAAACAACACAAAGCACCAAGCTAGAAAGAAACACAAGAGCCAATAGCTCTCTACCTCTGAATATTCTTCTAATATATGCATAGGAAGTAGTTCCAAGAATTCCAACATGCTTTTTCTTGGTCAATCAATTAAAATGGAATTCTACCCTTCCCTTCTGGAAAGGTGAACTTACCTGTTGTACTCAGATAAAGCCTGAGCAATCACAAGTCCCATTCCCTAAAAAAAAAAAAAAAAAAAAAAAGGCACAGGAGAAGTCAGTGAGTATTCTTTTGAGTAGGGAGGGTACTACGATTATGTCAACAAAAACACTAGTCACACCCTGTGGTCCAAGCTAAAGAAGTTTTGCTGAAAGTCAAGAACAACAACAGAAAGTCTGAGAAACAGAAAATGGAGAAGAATAAAATAAACTTCTTCGGTAAGACTGTTCTGATATAATTAAGATCTTAATGTTCCCAGATACAATTAAAATATAGTAACAAGGAATGAAACTTGCCCAGTCTCAGAGTTTCACCAAGCTTAGTTTCACCTTAAAAGAGAATTCAGAATTGTCAAATAAATGCCCCGTGTATTTCTGTATGTCTTAAAAAACAATACAAGTAGCAATGAGTCTCAACACTAAATGAAGGTCTGTAAGTAAGCCTATCTCTTTAAAGTTAGAAAAGTGTGGGAAAAAAGTAGTTTCAATAAATGTTAAACTGACTTCCCTCTGGAATCTGCTTCTCTTTATGACAACACAAAAGTTAACTAAGGCTACATTTCTGATTCATGTGTGTGAACATTTTATATAAGAGAAATAGGAAAAAATAAAGAGGGCAAGATAAATAGAGGGGAAACTCAGACACCTGGTCATTTCTTTTAATTGGATTTTCCTTTCTATATTCAGAAATCATATATTATTTCCCAAATTTTCAAAGACATATGTATCAGATGTATAATATCACCCTCTATGTTTTAGCTTCAACTAATCTGGCTATAAATACCATCTGGCTAGTTCAACAAGAAAGGATTTCCCATCATTTAGTCATCTGAGCTTTCTTAGAAATTTAATTTATTGACTCTGTAAGATAATTAACCTCAGCCTACTATAACATGAAACACAGCCAACTATTTCATCATGATCAGCAAGCAAATCTTCCCTTCATGACAATAAAATGGCAGTGAGACAGTAGTACTGATACTCTAAAAAAAGAAAATTCCCTCTTTATAGCCAGACAAAATCAGCATAATAGCTCTTTGCTCTCTGTTCTAAATGTGCACTAAATTCAGGGCTAGGAAGTAAGACAATATATGGGGAATCAGATACTCACATTGAGTGTGGCCTCATCATCCACAATTGACAGTTTCACAATATAAGGATTCACAGACTATAAAACAAGAGAAAAATGTCAAGGTGAGTGTGTTAGTTAAGCTAGCCCATCAGCTACATAACAGTGTTAATTAACAAAATGCTTAATAGTGTTGACAAAACAGTGCTAGTAAAAGGTTAACAAAAACATTCCTCAAAATCAGACCCAACTCATTTTGCCAGTTGATTCTCCCATTTTTAGTAAACCTGTTAAGTGTGTATAGGCATTCAACAAGAACAAGCGCACACACGGTCTCCTCTACATCCACTTTCCTCTACGTTCCCCATTTTTCCTCTCTAATTTGAAGAGGTGAACACTCTACAAAACTCACTTTCTCTTAGATGTCAGTAATTTACTGACTCCATAGGAACAGCTGTCTTTTAAGGTACATAAAAGCATCTTTACCACAGAACACGTATTTTTAAGTTTTTAACTCAACAGTCTTATCCCAAAGGCTCCCTAACCACTTCTCAAACAATATGCAAGAACTGATTCACCCACTCGTAAAACAAAGCCACGCGGGGGGTAGAAAGTGGCAGCTGCTTAACAGCCAGAGACCATTTATGGATCTGATACCCAAGTAACACTACAGGTGGGGGGACTGGAAAAAAAACCACAAAAACAGATGTAATTACACAAACCACAATCTGGTCAGGACACTGGGATTTAATGATCACCCCATCACATACAGCACTGAAAGATTTCTTGAGTTATCCAGAGTCAGCCTCAGCTGGGTAGCATATGGAAATGAACATCTATTTAAGCTCACTGAACAGTAGGGTCATCCTCTACAAGGGAGATGAGAACCAGTGACCTGCTCACCTCAAAAATGTCCTACCTATGCAATGTGAGCAAAGAATTCATATAGAATTTAACCCAAGGGAAACAAGGAACAATAGTTCTCAGATTGGCAGTTTTCAAGAAAATGCATTACTGAGAAACTTAGAAGCCCAACTGAAAGGCTGACCCCCACATAGACCGTATTTAATCAGGTTTCACAGGGCATCTTTTACATTTCACTTGGGAACAGAGAAATAGACAGCTTTGCTTTCCTAACATCTCAAATGCTTACAAGGTTTTCTAAGATACATCTCAAGGAGGTAAAACTCATTCCATTTGTCAAATGATATGACAGAAAGAAGGCTCTCAGCACTTTTCCTTATGACTAGAAGTCAAATCCTAGTGAGGTGACAGACGTCAAACAAGATCCAATGGAAGCAGAACAACAGTATGCCAACAGAAAGATCCCATTATAATGAGAACAACTAGAAAGAGCAAGTCACTGTCTCTGTATATGCTTTAGTAGTCATCACCATGGAAGAAGCAAAGTGATTAAAGACAAGGGTTTGAAGTCTAACTCCTCTACTTAACAACTGTGACAACACAGGCACATTAATTAACCTAAGCTTCAGTTTCCTCATCTGTAAGGTGGAGGTAATATTTTCCTCTTTTGGCTTTATTATGAGGCTTACATGAAATAATATATGTAAAATTCTTAGCATAACATGTGACATAATGGTCAAGGCTCAACAATAGATAGTAATTTTTTTTTCTCCTTGGACATTTATCATCCCATTCAAAGGGAAGATTTTTTTAATTTTATTAATTTTAATAGACATTTACAGAGGTTTTGGATTTCCATTCATTCATTGCTGCACTTTTCTCCCTGCCCACCCCTCCCCACCAGTTCACTCCCCTCTCCGAAAAGAAAAAGGAAAAAAAAATTCCTTCATTAGTATACAATTCTCCCAACCCTCCACCCCAGTACACTTACCTATGCAACCTTAATTCTGGATGCTAACCATAATACTCAATCATATATCACCTCTAATCTGTTCTTTCCCTCATCTGTTTCAATATAATATACATAATTTATCCAGTTTTTTCTGTCCTACCCCAACCCTGATGTCAGACCCATTCTACAACAGTGGCACCATGCAGTATTTGTCCCTTTGTGACTAAGATACTTCACTCAGCATAATGTCCTCCATAGTCACCCATTTTGAATATTGTATAAGTTCCTTGTTTTTCAATGCAGCGTAGTATTCCATTGTGTAAATATACCACAGCTTCTCTATCCATTCATTTGCTGATGGGCCCTTAGGTTGCTTCCAACTCTTTGCTATTATAAACAAAGCTGCAATAAACATGGGTGTGCTTATACAAAGGGAAGATTTTTAGAGAAAGGGGGGAAAAGAAAAAAAGAGAAAAAAGAGGAAGAGGAACAATTTGTAACTGGACACAATAAACAATGTTGTGATTCCTCAGAAACGTCAGAAACGTCATGGTCACGGAAACAGCAAGTGAGGACTGAGTCCTTTCATTTACAAAGTCTTGACCAACCTAAAAAATCAGGATTTTAATCTAGGCTTCAAACAGGTTCATTCTGGTCTGAAAATTTACATTTGTACTCCAAATTAACTTGGAAAAAGTTCTCAATGTAAATCAGAACATAAATTCTGAATTAACGTATCTGGAGTGGCAATGCAAATTCTCAGCAAGGGCTAAAGCAGAATTCCTTAATATACCTTGATGGTCAGTTTTCAAAAATGCAAGAAACGTACTTTAATCCACAATAATAAATTTGGTGAGCCATCATAGGAGCACTCTATTTAACAGAGCTCTGCTTTTATTTGTGGATCCAAGAAGATGAAGCTGTTGACAGTTTCAATCTTCCCTACATCTATCATGATGTTGCCTATGTGTCCATGGGTGAGAATTTTTGTTTTCCTGATGTTGAGAAGCAATCCATATTGAAGGCTACAGTGTTTGATCTGAAGCAAGGGCTTCAAGTCCTCCTAACTTTCAGCAAGCAAGGTTATGTGATCAACATATAAGTTGTTGATGAGTCTTCTCCTGATGCTGATGCCATATTCTTCTTCACAGAGTCCAGCTTCTTGAATGATTTGCTCAGCATGTATAAACTGAATAGGTATGGAGAGAGGATGCAACTCTAATGCACATTTTTCTTTTTTTAATTTATTATTTTGTGTGTGTGTACCATCAAATCAGATCTGACTAGTACAGGAGGAGATTGACCCTCCTTCTCCATCAGAGAATCGGGTGGATTTGAACTGCACACCTCTGGGATTGCAGTAATGCACATCTTTCATCTGTGCAATTTCAATTGTTAACAACTTCACCTTACTTGGATCCACAATCGACACATTTGGTACTAGCAGTTAGGAAAAGTACTGCATTAGGAAAGTCTGAAGTCAGGGACCTATCCAATTGCCTGAGGAGCAATAATGTCCATTTGAGGACTAAGGTGTGTCTGATTCAGGCCATAGTCTTTTTAATCACTTGCTATGCATCTGAGAGCTGGACAATATATGACAAAAGAAAAATTGATGCTTCTGAGCTGTGGTGTTGCAACAGAATACTTATGAATGACCTAGCAATAAAACTTAAAATTATAAAGATCCTTAGAGAAAAACTGGACCAATTTAGAGCCCTTGTCTCAGGCATAAATAGACTATCAAATATAAATGAAAATGTACCATCTGTAGAGGATAAGCTAAATTATTGGGGCCCTCTTAAGGAATATACCCTAAAGAGACCATAAATGGCATCCAAGTAGATATATGCATACCCATGTTTACTGTGGCTTTGTTTACAATAGCAAGGAGTTGGAAACAACCTAAATGCCCATCAACAAACGAATGGGTAGAGAAGCTGTGGTATATTCGCACAATGGAATACTATGCTGCATTGAAAAACAAGGAACTCATGCAATATTATTCAAAATGGGTGACCCTGGAGGACATTATGCTGAGTGAGGTATCTCAGTCACAAAGGGACAAATGCTATATGGTGCCACTGTTGTAGAATGAGGCTGACATCGGGATGGGGGTAAGACTGAGAAAAACTGGATGAAATATGTTTATGGCATTGAAGTCTTTTGGAGAGAGAATATTTTAAAAGTATTCTATTTTAGGGCATTATGTTTATCATAAGAGTACGGAATGAGGGTTGCAGAGTGGATTATATTTGGGGATTGGGGGATGTGTGTGGGAGATTACGTAACAATGAGGGAGTTTTTCTTTTGCATTTGAAGGAGAGGAGCAAATGGGGGGGGGGGGGGGTGGGTGGGGAGAAGGGTGCAACAATGAATGAATGGAATTCCAAAATCTCTGTAGATGTTCACAGAAATGAAAAATAAATAAATTTTAAAAAAAAGAATTAAATTCATGTACATCAAAAAACTTCTTCAAAAGAGTGAAAGAGGACTGGAAGAAATTATTTAGCAATGATATATCTGCCAAGGCTCTTGTCTTTTATAGATAACTCCAATACACTTGGTACTAGCAGTCAGGAGATTAGGAAATATACTGCATTGGGAAAGTCTGCAGTCAGGGATCTCTCCAAGTTGCTAAGGAGCTATGCACGCCCATGTTTATTGCGGCTTTGTTCACAATAGCAAGGAGTAGGAAATAACCTAAGTGTCCATCAACAAACAAATGGACAGAGAAGCTGTGGTATATTTGCACAATGGAATACTATGCTGCATTGAAAAACAAGGAACTCATGCAATATTATTCAAAATGAGTGACCCTAGAGGACATTATGCTGACTGAAGTATCTCAGTCACAAAAGGACAAATACTGCATGGTGCCACTGTTGTAAAGCAGGACTGACCTCAGGGTTGGGAGGAGACTGAGAAGGATGGGTCCAATAATGTATACTGCCTGCATTGAAACAGATGAGGGAGGAAACTGTTTAAGAGAGAAAATTATTAGGTATTTTTGTCATGACAGGAGTCCAGAGCGAAGGCTGTATAGTGGAGTGGACCTGGGGGGAGGGATTGTAAAACAATGAAAGAATTTTCCTTTTACTTTTCCAGAGGGTAGTGTACTAGAGAGGGTTGGGAGGGGAGAAAAGTGCAACAATGAATGAATGGAAATCCAAACTCTCTGTAAATTTTCATTGAAATTAATAATGAATTTTAAAAAGAAAGAAAGAAAGAAATGCTGAGAGAGAAAAAAATAGTTGCTCAGGAGCAATGTTAATTTGAGGACTAAAATGTGTCTGGTTCAGACCATGGTTTTTTTCAGTCAGTTGCTACACTGCTGAGAGTTGAGTCATAAATAAATATGACCCAAGAAATTTTCTCTCACAAGCTTCATCTCACATATTTTGGACATGGTGCTAGGAAAGGCTATTTCTTGGAAAGGGAAAAAAAAAGGTGGAGCAGAAGAGAGGCAGCCTCAACCAGAGAGACTGACACAATGACTGCTACAGTGTACTCGAGTACGTCAGAAATGAAGATGGCACCGGAAGGACAGGGTTCTGATCTTTGTTCCACAGGGGTGCCAGGAGTCGTATTTGACTTGATATCAATAGCCTTCATTTCAAGGAGCTCTAGGAGCACAGTAGTTAAGCCCTTTGCTGCTAAGGAAAAGTCAGGTAATGCAAACCTCCCAGCCACTTTGCAGAAGTAGTGGTAGTCTGTTTGTGGAGAGATTACAGCCTTGGAAGCCCTTCTGGACAGTTCTCCTCTATTCTATACCGCTGGAGTCATCGGAATTGACTCAATGGCAGTAAGTTTGGGTTTCTTTGGGTTTTGCTTTTATTTTACCTAAATTACACTTAATCCTTTTTTGCTGCTCTTCCTTAGACTTTTTCTTTTTGCTTCCTTTCTCTCTTGAGGTGAAATGGAATTTCTGAAATGAAATGCATTACCTGACAGGAGGAAGAACTATACATTTACTACATGACATCTTTTCCATAACTTCTGAAAGTCTCTAGCACCTTATATATTTGGTCCCAAGCCTCTCTGGTGTCTTTTTCTGCACTTTCCGAAAAGTTACAACTTTTCCAGTGGTCATAGGATTCAGAGTGCTATTACCGGAATATTGTTCTCCCCAGCATGCATCCCTTAATTCTTGGATTTTGCTATGTTCATCTGGAATTCCTCATGCTCCTGCCAAAAACCTCCTGCTCCATGGTCACCAGACTTCCTTAATGGTTTCTGGTGAGTGACTTATATCAAAAGCTGCAAAGCCTAGATAAATTATGCCCACCAGCTTGCCCTTGCCCACTATACTAATTCTTCTAGGGGCTTCTGACAGCGTACAGATGCATACCTCACTCCAGAAATATGATTTTCTCCAGTTCCTTGGCCATGTCCAATTTTTCAGGCTGACATTTTAGAGAGCCCTACTGGTCGGAGCAAGGGTTCAGCTCACATTCAAAGAAGTCAAGCTACTGCCTCAAAGTGGCCGTATTCAGCAGAATGTTCTGGAAATATTCATTACTAATGATAGCTCCTTCTTGTCATCTATAACTCAACTCTCTTTAACTATCCTCAGCATTTTTCCTCAGCTATTTTTCCTGCTGTTGTAATAAGGCCCCTGAGGCTATTACATATGACAGAGTTCAAAATGGCTACCAAGCCAGCTCCCACATATCAACAGAAAAACAGGTGTTGTTGATAAATTACATATTTATTAGTAGCTCTACATGCCATTCATCACATCCCCCTAGAGAATGAAAGCAGTCAGCTCTTGGGATTCTATAATACATTAACACCGCTCTACATACCAATCCCTTTTTAAGTAGGAGTACTTTTCCACAATATCTTTCTTTCACATTCCTCCCAGTAAAAGAACGAACTCCAGATTTCATGTTGCCTATGACTTTTAACCTGGCTAAATAAAACCTGATTAGGAATCATTATCAAAGGTCTCTAAGTGAGGATCCAAAGCTCACAAATGAAAATTCTCTCTCCATTTGATCCATTCTTATAAAAATGTTACTCAGTTAAAGAAAGTCAGATTGCCTCCATGTAGCTCTTGACTTCTGGGTTCAATAAATACTCCTGGCAGCCAAGACTCAATGCCAAATGTTCCCTACTTCTCCAAAGGAATTCTCAATGTGTCTTGTCACCCCTGAGCATCTTCAATCCTTTTCTGTATATTATGCCTTTTACAAGAAATCAAGCAGATTAACTAACTCAAGTCTCTGTTTTGTGCATTCCCCCCCCCCCGAAAACCTACTAATCTGAACCATGATTAATTTAGAGGCAAAAAAATCAAACTCAAACATTGCCATCAAGTTGATTCTGACTCAAAGCAACCCTGCATTGTGTTTTTAAGGCTATAAATCCTAACTGGAAGTGACTGCCCATCTTTCTCCAAGGGAGCCATTGGTGGATCTAAACCACAGCAGACACATGGCCTTTTGGTTAGCAACACAATACACTAAGTATTTCTCCACCAGAACTCCCTACGGACACAAAGATCTCCAGAATTGATGTGGAGAAGACCTTGTCCTGAATTTTTCATTAAAATCAGCAAAAGTTTCTAGACCAACACTGTTATTTACACAAATAAACAAACTAAGGAAATGTAGTCTTTCAAAACAGATGCAGTAGATTAGTGGTCTTGGTTCCTGTCTAAACACCATATTCAATAGAGGATTTTTTTAAAAAATTAAGTAAGATTCCAAGGTCTCACTCCCAACAGATTTGATTCACTGTATTAACAGTACGGTCAAACAATCTCTTTTTAAAAGTTCCAAGCTGATTCTAAAGATCAGTTGTGTCTGGGGACTATTGAATTAAAGGACATTTACATTATTAGAAAATTCATCACAGGATTAAACAGTGATACCCTGTCCCACTTATTAATATATTTTTAGAATCTGGTTTAGCAAAAAAGAAATATACATACCACTCACCAAGAACACATCACCTACAATAGCAAAGTCCAACCAGATTGGTTAGATTAAGAAATAAAACTATATTTACTGTATACTCACCTCATACTTTCTATAGTTCACCAGCAAAGCCAAGAGGACAACAGCATCATACCCATGCTCCCGACGACTTGGGGGGTGGGAAAGAATCTGGAACAAGAACCAAAAATATAAAATAGTACCAACCTCTGTCTCCAGGAAATTGCTGATTTGAGGAGACTGTTCATCCACAAGAGAAACAGATGACAAGGCAGTCAACCTACCTGTAAAATTGCTTCAAATATGCTGTTGATCATTACATACTCCAGGATAGTGTTCTGACTGATGTTATCTGTCACCTGAATGTAATAAAAGGCTTTTTAAAATTTGTACTGAGGCACTCTGGTTATGTCATACGCATTTCCTTTCCTAGTTGAACACAGGGTCACTATGAGCCACAAGCAACTCAACAGCACACAACCGCAACAACAGTAGTACCTAAGACAAATAGGTTAAAACATTCTCTACTTCTAGACCTTTTATAAGCACACCAAAGTTATCAGAACCTGAACAGACAGATATCAGAAGGCTAGGAAATTAGCAAATTAAAACTCTTACATCTTCAAACTTCTCATTGACTCTTTCATATACCCGTGTATTTCCTTAATGGTTCTTTGTTGTTGTTGTTGTTAAGTGCTATCGAGTCATAGATGACTCATAGCAACCCTATGAACGAAAGACCTGAACACCTGTATAACTTTCATTTCTCCAAGTTCATAGAGTTTCCAGAGGTAAGCTATTTCGGAAGTGGATGCCACTCTTGTTTCCAAGCTTGTTTTAATCAGAGAGCTCCACCAAACATTGTCCACCACGGGTAATCATTATCACATTCATCGCATTATCACATCAGTGTCATAGTATTTAGCATCACAGCAATCACGCGTTACCTCTGTACAGCAAATGGTTCCTTAGATATCCTTTCTATGAATCTATAGGTATTAAAGCTGTGGCCAGTAAAGAGAATCACCTAAGTAATTAACAACATCTTACCCTCTTTTTACCAGAAATTGTAGGCCAGCTTCTCACTATAAAAGTCAAAGTCAGAACAAATATTCAGAATCATGAGAGCTGTTTTCAAATAAGGACTCAGAAGAAGGGGAAATCAAACAACTCAGAAAAAGGTAGTTCGCCTGCAATGATGCCTCTAAAATTATAAATACCACATCCATGCATGCTAAAATTGCAGGCTAAAAGTTGCTCCAGAAAGTAACTTTCACAAAGCACAAGAGAGACATCTAATAGATTGATCTAACACCTGGAAAAAGGACTTTTTTTTTCTTTTCCCTTGTGACTTTGGAACTGTCCAAAAAAGTTTGCCCCTTATCAGCAAGTGGTCAATTAATACACTTGACAGAGAAAGACTGATGAATCACTTACAGTCACTAAGCAAAGGAGAAGTTTCAGACATAAACTCTTCAGACTTTCAGAACCTTCTGCACAAAGCAACGAATCCAAACTCTCCATCAAGTTCTAAGAAAGAAAACCATTAGTATTAAACCATTTAAAATAACTTCTACATTATCTCCATCCAACTGTGGGTTATGTGACACATAGTTATATAACTAACACATAATAAAGCAAAAGTCCTTCCCCTAGACCTTGGAAAATTAGGCAAAGGAACACTTAAAAGATTAACAGCTTTGGAGAAAAATATTTTAACACTAGCAAAGACTAGCAAAGAATTCACTACTCTATCAAATGAATGTGTCCTATTATTCTCATAACAAAAAAAAAATAATAAAAACCAACAATAACAAAATAAAATCAAACTCAATGTGGACAAGTTAATTCCATCTCCTAAGAATCCCAATGGACAGAGAAGAATGGTCTCAAAAGATTTCCAAGGCCTAAGTCTTTATGGAAGTAGACTGCCACATCTATCTTCTGAAGCAGCTGGTGAGTTCAAATTGTCAATCTTTTAGTTAGCAATTGAGTGCATTAACCATTATGTGACCAGGGCACCTATCATCCCTGTATAAACCTCAAATTAGAGTGAAGTAAGTAAAACAGGAAAGAATCTTTACTGGGGCCCATTAATATTTTTGTTTGGGATTTTTTTTTCCTTTTATTTACTTACAATTTATACTCTTTCAGAAAGAATTTTATTCATAAAAAATAAATGTAATAAAATAAGGTAAAACAAAAAACTTTAGGCTAATGTAATTCATGATTGTGGATAGGCATTAATTAACTTTTGATCCAAGGTTAAAAAAAGAGGAAATATAATAATTACATATAATTTTTATTACCTAATAGAAAAATCATATCACTTTATGCAGGTACACTGAAGAAACAACACAGACAGTATCAGTACTAATTATCACTAGCCATACCCACTAACAAAGGTAACTAGCCTGGTCAATTCCATTTGACAACATGGTAAGAATCTATCACCTGCAGTAACAACCAGCTTAGACATGCAAACTAATGAAAAGATGGTGTGTGACTGGGGAAAAAAAATCAACTCTTAGTTGACCTTCCAGTGGGTTTTCTGGCAACTGTCAATCACACTGGAAGAGACTGCCAATTCTTCTCCTTAGGAGCTGCTGGTGGATTACAACCACCAGAGAGGTGCTTAGTAGCACAACTCCCTTGAATTAGTCCATCAGAGCTCCTTAAAATTTATTGCTGACCAAATGAACAACCACAACTGAAGGGAGTGAGAACTTGTGGTCCCTTTGCATGATGGAATACGACGCAGCACTCAAATGCAACCATTTCTAAAATTACTACACAACTTGGGAGGGACTGGAGAGTATTATGCTGAGTGAATTAACTCAATCTCAAAAGGACAAATACTGCATAAGACCATTATTGTAAAAATAGAAAGATAACTAGTAAAACATGTATAAGGATCCAGGGAGGGCATCGCTATGAATTACAGTTGACAGCATCTAAGAACAGCAACACGATAAAAATAAACACAGATGAACTAAATTAGTTCATAAGTCACTTATCCCAAGACCTCTCAAATGAATTCATAGGAATCAATAAAAACTTAAAAAGGAAAGAGTACAGACAGGAAATAATAAAAATCATGTGGGGCGTGAAGTAGCCTTGGGTATGGAGCTAGAAAATAAGCAGTTCAAAACTCTCAAAGTCATAGCCCTCAAACTGGAACCAACTCATAGCTGACCCTCCAGTGGGTTTTCAAAGGCTGAAATTGCATGAAAGGAAATGGCTCATCTTTCTTCCACTGAGCAGCTGGTGGATCCAAACTATTCACCTTTAGGCTGGCAGTGCAACTCCCTACCCGCTAGGCCACCAGATCTCCCTAGTTTGTTATGACAGGGCTATAAGGAGTGAGACAGGAATGGTGAGAAAAGAGACTGGAGAATTAAATAGAAAGCAGATGATAAAAGTCTTAAAAGGCTAACTGAGGACTTCTGTCTTTATCTTGTCAGTGAAAGAAAACTAATAAAGGACCCTAAACAAGAAAGATTTCAGTATAAGATGTATCACTCTTGTGTTAGTGACAGGGGAAGAAAACTAATGAGGAAAAAATCTATCAATTTTCTAAGAGTTGCTATATTTCATTTGTCTTTGTATCCTCAATGTCTACCACAGTGGCTGGCACATGGAAGTCCAACAAATATTTGTCAAAAGAATGCATAAAGGCAGCTCACTGTCTAAGTCCAAGTAGGAGATAGGGGAATAATGGCAGTGAGGAGAGGGAAGGAAGAAAAGATAGGCCTGAGTAATATGAGCTGAGGTAAAATTAGCTGAACTTGGTGAGCTGATAAATTTGGGCTCAAGTATATCAGACATGGTGAAGATGGCACAGGATAAAGCAGAATTCAAATCCACTGTTCAGAGAGTTGCTATGAGTCACAGTTGACTCGATGGCACATAACAACAATATAAAACACATAAATGGCCAGTAAGTGCATAAAATGACGTTCAACATCTTTGGTCATCAACTCAAGTCCGTTGTGATCTAGTTGATACTGACTTGTGTCTTAAGTTAATCACGAACTGAGAACTGTCTTAAGGGTTTCTAGGGCTATATAGCTTTATGATAGCAGATTGTTTAACCTTTCTCCTATAAACTGACTCATGTGTTCCAGCTGCTGGAACCAAATTGGTTGGAAGTGATTAGCAACCAAATTCTTCAACTACTGTACCAAAACCACAATGAAATACATCATTTCTACTAGAACAGCTAAAATTTAAAAATAAAAAAAGGACAGTAAAAACTGCTGATGAGGACATGTTGAAATTGAAATCAACACACTGTTGATGAGACTGCAAAATGACACAAAATGGTGGAGACACTCTGGAAAATTGTCCCTTCTTCAAATACTAAAGAGATATTATGACATGCTCCAACAACTCCATTGCTAGGTATTTATCTCAAAGAACTGAAAATACAGGTCTACACAAACCTGCACCTAAAAAAAAACCAAAAAAAAACAAAAAAAACCCTGCACCTAAGTACTCACAGCAGTATTATCCATTAATAGCCAAGAAAGTAGGAAGAACCTGAAGTTTATCAATTGATATATAAGCAAAATACATTACATATAATCATGCAATTGGATATTATTTGGCAATAAAAAGGAATAAAACACAGATGCATCTTACAAGAAAGATGAATCTTAAATATAACTTCAGTAAAAGCAACCAGACGCAAAAGGTGTTAATTCCATTTATTTGAGTCGTTCAATATAGTCAAATCAAGAAATATTAAATAGATTAGTGATTATCAAATTAGATTAGCTAAGAGCTAAGGAAATTATGAATGAGTGCTAATAGGTGGGAAGCCAAATATCAAATTTAATATTAATAATAAACCAAATGCTCTGTCAGGATAGGAGAGAGGCTGACACAAGCTGGAATTCACCCTGTGGCACTAAGGCAATCCTTAAATGTTTACAGGGGTAGGCATTAAGGCAATCTTTAAGAGTCTACATAATTCTTAGTTTGTATTTACTAAATCCCTCCCTCCTGAAATAAGCATAAAGTAAACAAACAATAGAGAAGAATTCCTTATTTACAAAAGACTTCCCCACTGATCCTTTGTTTTTATTTACTACTCATTTGTTTACCATCCTGATAATTCTCAATAAAAACCCAGAAAGGTGTAGCACAGGGGCTGCAGTTATCTGAGCTGTTAGCCCCTACCTTCCCGATTTCTGGCCTCACCCCCATTCCTGTTGTGTCCCTGTCTGTCTTTTCCTTTAGTCAACAACACTAATAGGTAGAGGTTTTCTTTAGGGGCTGATGAAAATATTCTGAAATTAGGTAACAATAAATATACTAAAAACTACTGAGCTGAATTACAGGCTTTAAAAAGAAGAACTGTATCATATACTAATTACATATCATTTTTTAAAAAGAATTCCAAAGCCAACATGTTAAAAACAGAAAGATACATTTGTATATTAATTTGCTGTATTTTACATAAACTCCTAAGTGTTTTTAAGAATGCATGATAAAATAATAAACTTCTCAGTCTTTATCCTGCAGGAAAAGGATTCCTTTTTCTGCAATTCAAATTTTAATTCAGAATTTCCCTTTATTCAGATAAGCCAAACTTGCTAAATAAAAATATTCAAATCAATGCCAAATTCATCTGCATTTGGGTCCAAGTCTCTTGATACGTTCAACTATCTGCAGATGGTATTCATGAACAGCTGTCAGAAGCAGCAGGTCACAGGCACTTCTGCAGCTGGTGTCTCACCTTCATACAAAGCTCCGCCTTATCAAAGCCCATCAGCATGTTAATAATGTCAAACCCAGAAGTAGATTTATTCTTCTGATGGACTCCTCGAATGAGTGCACACAAGGTCTGCAAGAGAAGAGAAAAAGGTCTTCCCAGAGAAAATATCTCAAACTTAGGACAGGACGGTGAATCTGTAGCTTCACATACCTCAAAACCCTACCCCCTTACACAGTGACACTTTAATTTCTATTACTCTGAGCTCCAACATCTTTTAATGTGTACAAAAACTGTCAGAAATTAAGAAAGGAACAGCAACTGAGCACTTACCATTCTCTTTTTCATTTTCCCTGCCCCATCTTTTAAAATGTTACAAAGACTAGAGCTAATAGTCAAAATTTTAAAACAGTTACACATAGGATTAATGATGTATTACTTTAGTTTTAGGATTGTTGTTGTTGTGTACCATCCAGTCGCCTGCGACTCATAGTATACCTATATACAACAGCCCTAAACCTTACTCTATCCCTTGCCAATCTTATTGTCTCCGACACACCTATTACCCTATTACCACAGTGACTGAATCAATCCATCTCACTGAGGGTATTCCTCTCCTGCACTGTCCTTCCACCCTCCCAAGTATGGCGTCCCTCTCCAAGGACTGAGCCTGCCTTGCAACATGTCCAGATTATGTCAGATGAAGCCTCAGAATCCTAGTCTCAAAGGAGCAGCCTGGATTTAGGATTTACCCTCTCCAGGAAAAATATGTTTGTTCAAGAAGTCCCTGGTATATTCAATACTCTTCTCCAGCACCCCAGCTCAATGGCATCAACTGTCTTTCTATCATCCCTAGTTATTGTCCAGCTCTCTGATGCATAGCAAGTAAATGCAAAGACCATGGCCTACATAAGGCGTACCTTAGCTATAGTTTAATATTTTTAAGGATTTTAAGTTCTATAAATCTGTAAATGGTATTAGCCAACTTTTTCAAATCTTAAACATAGTACAATACTCATCAAATATTTATTAGCTATATGATTTTGTTAGAAGCAGGAGTGACATCCACTTCCATAAACAGCATGCTTTCGGAAACCTTATGAACCTGAAGAAAGGATAAAGGTCACGCACGCAAGTGTCGAGGACTTTCGTTCATAGGGTAGCTATGAGTCGCCTACGACTTGACGGCACTTAACAACAACATGTGATTTTGAGTAAATCAGTTAATTTTTTAGCACCCCTGTTTTCTCATCTATAATGATTAATAATAACAATCAACTCACAGGGATGTTATGATATTTATGTGAATTAATACTGTAAAGTGCTTGAAACAGTCCCTGGAATGCACTTCCTCAAACTTTGTTAAAACTTGATAAATGTTAATAATAAAAACATTTAAAATATTATATTTTTTACATTATAATACACTAATATATTTTCTATATCTATATCATAATGTGAGTTGTACATAGGGTCGCTATGAGTCGCAGGCGACTCGACGGCACATAACAACAACAACAACATATCATAATGTACTACATTTTTACAAAAAATTGGCAATTCAGGCCCCCATGGTTGGCCACTACAATTATAAAAAGTCCAACTGCCAACTTTTCTTCCAACTTTATTGAGGCAAGGATGTTAGTCTAGAGACTAACACTTGATCCAGGCCATGGTCTTCACAATTACTTGCTATGCAGCAGAGAGCTGGACAATGACCAAGGATGACAGAAGAATAATTGATGTCTTTGAGTTGTGGTGCTGGAGAAGAGTATTGAACATACCACTGACTGCCAAGAACACTAATAGATCTGCCCTGGAGAGGGTGAAACCAAGCCGCTCCATGGAGATAAGGATTGTGAGACTCCATTTCACATACTTTGGGCATGTAGCCAGGAGGGAACAGTCTTTGGAGAAAGGTATCATGGTTGGAAGGGTCAGGGGACGACAAAGGAAAGGAAGACCCTGGATGAAATGGAATGACCCAATAACTGGGGTAAGGAGAGTATGTGTACCAGACAGTAAGACTGGCTAAGGATAGAACAGGGTTCAAAGCTATCATGGATAGGGCGACAGTGAGTTGTAGTCGACTTGATAGCACATAACAACTGTAATGCTGACATTTAAAACTTACTGTGCAATTAAAGAGTTAATAAAGTCACTGCATAAACATGGCCCATGTATTTCTGGTGTACCAATTCAAGAAGTAAGGATCACAATATAATTTATTAAACTGTTAAATTAGAAACTGACACCCAATCTAATACAAATTTAAAAATAAAACCTTTAGAGACCATGGATTTTTTATATCCTAAGCTCATCCATCAGATTCACCCTGGAGAGGGTTAAACCGGGCTACTCCTTGGAGGCAAGGATTCTGGGGCTTCATCTGACATACTTTGGGCATGTTGTAAGGAGGGACAGGTCCTTGGAGAGGGACATCATGCTTGGGAGGGTGGAGGGAAGGTGAAGGAGGGGAAGACCCTCTACAAGGTGGATTGATTCAGTTACTGGGGTAATGGGGGTGGGTGTGTCAGAGGCAATGCGATTAGCACAGGATAGAGCAGGGTTTAGGTCTGTTGTACATAGGGTCGCTATGAGTCGCAAACGACTCGACGGCACATAACAACAACAAGCTCATCCATCACTGTCCAAAGTACTCAGCCCAACACAGGCTACACTGAGCCCACCAGACTACACTATAAACTTTAGAAGAAGTTTAGGTAAGCATTCACTCAAAAAGAATTGACTTCTAGAGTGCCAACTATATGCAAGGCATTGTTCTACACTATAGTGCACAGAAAAAAAATACTGAATGAAACTATAAAAGTTTTTGCCCTTGAAATTCTATATTGTATTCCTACCACCTACCTATTCCTATAATTATAACATAATAATTACTCAAGAAATTGCTAGATAAATCTTCTTCGTAGCCATGCCACTTAACACAAAGAACAATAATTCTTAAGTGTTTTCTGAGTTGCAGACATTTTGAGAAGCTAATGAAACCTCTCTTTGGGAGTTGGGGGGAGAAGGACATTTGCACATAAAATAGTGCACATTTACAGAAGGACTCTCTGAAACTCCAAATTAAGAACTTCTTAATCTGGTGAGTCCTAAAGAGCAATGATGTCAGTTTAAAGATTAAGGTGCATCTCATCGAAACCACAGTCTTTCCAATCACCTGCTACCCATCTGAAAACTGGACAATGAATAAGGATGACAGGAGAAGGACAATGCATTAGAGTTATGGGGATGAAGAACAGTAATGCCAAAAGAACAAACAGGTATGTCCTAGAGAAAGTGTAACCAGATTGTTCTTTGGAGGCAAAGATAGTGAAGTTTCATCTCATATATTTTGGACATGTTGTTAGGAGAGGCTATTCATTTGAAAGGGACATCATGCTGGGAAAGCAAAGGAGAAGACCCTCAGCAAGATGGACTGGTAACAGTTTCAGAGGCAATTGGCTCAAATGTGTCAGGGATGATAAGGATGGCACAGGATAGGACAGCTTCAGATCTGTTGTTCATAGGGACACTATAAGTCATAATCAACTCGATGGCACTTAACAACAGCAACCTGGTGAGAAAATTCTCTTTAGAGCTTTGTTACAAACTAAGAATAATTGCCTTAGTTTTTCCATATCTTCCTTTCCTCAAGTAAGAAGAATAATTCTGTCAAACAATCCACTTTGACATTAGACCAAATTACATAAATGGACATCATTTCTAGAATAAACATCAACGTGTTCAAACCAGGCCAGGACTAAAACACAAAGCACAAATACATGGTGAAAGAATGAAGAAAGAAACTAAATGGAAGAAGCAAAAAGGGAGGTAGGAAGGAGGGAAAATAGAAAGGAAGGAGAAATAAATGGAAAAAAGAGGAATCCTTACACTTAAGGGATATTTTCATTTCCTCTAGTTCCAATACATGAGTTCCAATTTCTTTCTTTTTGTAAACAAGACTTTCCCAGTCTCCCAGCCTTATACCTGCAATGCATTGACAACTCGAATTGGGTGCTCCTCTCCCAGGGCCAGGATGCAGTGTTGAAATAAGCAATTAATATTGTCCTTGATCTTCATTAACTCCTCACCATCAAGAGATTCCAACTTGCCTTCTAAGTAATCTAAATTCACCTGCCAAGAAAACAGTAAGGGCAGTAGTGCATTTTTAATGCAGTACCTACAACACATGAGATGCTACAGGAAAAGAATATCGGTTACCAGGAAAATTCAGATACTTATAAGTCTTACCTTCATGAGGAAGAGCTCCTCCCAAAACCGAGGACTACATTTACTTGGGTCCTCTGTCTGAAATTAGAGGATAAGCATATTCAACATCTCTAATTATCGCCAACACTATTAAGAACACATTTCAAGGGGTCACAACGTAAAATCAACTTTTCCTTTCAAAATTAAGTTTGAAAATGTCTAGTCATTCTAAATTGTTCTAGAGGGAAAGAAAATTCATCTTGTTTCAAATGGAATACATTATGTATGAGATAGATATATATTCCCTGCAGTAGAAGTTAAATAATGATTTCAAGAACTGTCCTAAAACTTATCTCTTATAGCAGGAAACAACAACAAAATACAACCCTCATTGCCATCAAGTTCATTCCAACTCATAGTAACTCTCCTCTGGGTTTCCAAGACTATAACTGTTAATAGAAGAATGTTTCTCCCATGAGCTTAGTTGATTCAAACTGCTAGACATATAACTTTTAGCTTAGTAGTGCAAAAGGCTACGGACTATGCTACCTCTCTTATAGCAAAAAGTGAACCTAATTAATTAAATAAGTTAGTCACATTATAACACATCCCTCTTACAGGTTGATAGGGCTCAGTTTTCAAAGCACTTACATATACATTAAATACAATGGCATGGTAAACCAAGTATTATTGATATTATCATCATTCTCTTTTGAGGAATTAAAGTAAGCTCTGGTGGTGCTATAGTTAAGGCATTCAGCTTCTAAACCTGTTTGTTGGTCTGAACTTTTCAAAAGAAAAGCCAGTCTATTTCTGTGAAGATTTTATAGCCTTGGAATCCTCTGAGGCAGTTCTACTCTGTTCTACTAAGCAGAACTGACTTGATAGTAGTGAGCTGGGTGTTTAGGTTTGGTTTTAGGCAGAAGGGCTACAAAATTGATCATCCCAAATCCAGGAGCCAGAACACAGATCACCTAAGTACTACTGCAGTCATCTGTAGAACATTCTATACTGTCTGTTCTCTTTGTCCTCCTAAATACATTGAGTTCTTTAAAGAGAACTTTAACTTGTGCTTTTAATATGTTCTTAAACTGGTCCAAAAAATGAGCAAAATTATGGTGCTAAAATCTGAAATTTCTCAATAGTAATATTCAAACAGAAATTTCAGGAAGTCAGAAATTTTGGCTTAATGGGAAAAATAAGAAGGGAGAACCCATACTTTACAAGAAAACTAATGACAAAATCAGTAGACTTTTTAAAATTACTATACTGACTAAAAATGAATGCGTTCAATAGTTAAGAAGTGCTTATCCAATAAAATAAAAAAACCCAACCACCTTTTAATTAAGAATGACTTAAAGAAGCATCACTTCTTGCCTTCTAAATAGTGAGTTCTTTCTATTCCTTTCTCTCAAGTACTGCTACCTTAAAGGTTCATACTTTGTAAAGCTGTTACAAATTTTATGTCATTTTATTCTCTAATATTCACAAGAGACTTAAAACACTCACAGAGCTGACACTTTTTATAGCCAAAGCTCATTTGAGCAGGAATTGTATGTATACCAAGCGTGTTTAAATACAGAAAGAACCCTAGTAGAAAACTAGTACCTATTCACTTTCTCTGTGTGGAGTTTGTCTTTCAATATGGCTTTTCTAGCGTGGATGACTGACTGTGGAGATGAGTGGGACTACGCGAATCGACAAGTTGCTTTATCCACAAAGAGACTGGCTAGCTACCATTCCACAAGAAGACTGGCTAGTCTCAAAAATCTACAAGAGGGTTGGCTAGTCTCACCAGTAAATTAAACAGCTCTAGCTGCAGAGATAAAGCTCTTCCCCTCACCAGAAGAGTTAAAAATCCTCCCCAGCCAGAGACGAGAAACCTCCCCCAACTCAGTGTAACATAGGACATGATTTAGGACGGCAGTAGAAGCCAATCTGATGTGGGATGAGATGAGACCTTTTGGGGGGAGGGTGTACCTGGAGGGAAGCCAATACTGGCAGGTCTAAGAACTCTGTTGGACAACTGGTGGTAGAAGAAGCAGCCAATACTGGCAGGATTGAGAACTCTGTTGGATAATTAAGTGGAGAACCAATATTTGGAGGACTCAGAACTTTGTTGCACAATTGGGGGTGGGAAGCCAATAGTGGAGGACTGAGAACTTTGGAACACTTAGAACAATGAAGCTCAAAGTTGAGGTGCTTATGTGCACATTTTGAGAGCTCTCTTGTCTGTATTTTGTTATTAATCTGAATTATAACTTTCTGACTTCCCGAATATGGCTCTGTGTGGCCTGTGACCTATGACATCAGAGTTTGGGCCCACAAATTGGTGCTGAGATGAGCAGAGAGCATGCAGAGATATGGGAGTCTGAACTCATGGGACTTTTGTATTTTGTGTTACTGATGGGGATGGGGACAGTTCCCCCCCCCTGTAAGGTTGGTCAAGGTCAGATATGGATATCCCCATGCAGCACAGCACTTGCCCTTTTTATACTCTATAAAACTCTGTTAGCTTCTGTCAAAATTTGTTAGCTCACCTGTGAAATTAGTTCTCTAAAGTGTGCCAACAATTAAATGTTTCCTTTTTATCACATTATTTATTCTAGGACACACAAAGTCCAAAAAGTAAGGATTTGGAGTAAGACAAATGGGTCCCAATCAAGACTCCATCACCTCCCAACTATAATCCTGGTCCCCTATCCAGTATCTTTGGACAATTCTTATTAGAATTAAAGCTAATGTATTTGGTGATGCATTTAGCACAGGTTCAGGAACGCAGTAAGAATATAATATACGGTAACTTTTTATTAGTGTTATTGTTTTATACATCCTTCTTATAACCAGTATTTGAAAAGGCAAGAACCCTTGCAGGGTACCTGATTCTTCTTACCTCTTATAAAAACATATATTTCAGAACACAGTCCATCAGTAGTTCTGAATAACCAATAAATCTCCAATTAAATTGCCAATAATTCCTGTCATCCACATAGTTGGAAAATGATACATTCTATTAAACTGGATTATCTACTATTAATGTGAGAAGGAATATAATAATATATCTTCTAAAAATATCTGAATCATAAGAACTTAAGGGTGAAAAGAAACATCACAAGATGCCTAGGTCAGGAGGGAGCTCTGGTGGCATAAAAAGTTACAATACTAAACCAAAGGCCACACCTCTCTGACAGTTCAAATCATCCTTCCCATGCCTCTACAGCCTCAGAAACTCAAGGGAAGGTCAGCTATGAGTCAGCTGGTTTTGTCTCAATAGCAATGAGAGAATCTAGAAGGGCTTTAAGTCAGATCATAAGGAATGTAAATCTTCCTTAAACATACTCAGAAAAGCAGCTTCCCTTGCTTTTTTCCTCTCAGTTGTTTTTATCCAGTTCATGGCAACAAACTATAAGAACAACATAATAACAATCTATAGTTATTAATATAGGATTATTAATCCTACCATGGGAGAGCTCACTCTCTTCCTTATTCTTTCTCTTCATCTAAAGACCATGCAGTAGTGAAGCTCTTTCACATTTTGAGACAAAAAGGTAAGGAGTCAAGAAGCAGCTAAGCAAAAAGAGAGGTATCCAGGCCTTACCATGAAGATCTCATCATACATCAGCACTACTTTTTCCTTCAGTGGTTTTTTGGAGGCTGAAGACTTGCGGAGCAAGCCCCCTCGTTTTTCGACCTGTGCCATGGTTACAGAATCTGTGAAGAGAAAGTCAGTCATTTCTGTACACTGCTTTCTAAGATGCTGGATGCAGCATTTACTGAGGTACCTCAATGTGAAATATTTTAAGAAGAAGAAATGATAAATAATCATGCCACAGATCTTATACACCTGTCCAACCCCCACTCACTGTCAGGTAATATACAGGTTTAAATCACCAGTTGGCCTACAGCATAACACATTTAACATCCTTTAACATGCCAGTGGACAAAGTTTAAAACAGATCCAAAAGCAAGCAGGAAAATGTAACTAGCTCCATCTATAATAGGTCTGGCCATATATTTGAGGTTGATGGAAGGAAGACTGCAAAGCATACACTGCCCACAGACTGATGGTAAAGTTAAATTTCAAGTATTGATCGAGCTTAGGACCATTAAGGCAGGAAGTGTGCTGCAGACTGATGTGCTCCATTGATTTCCCCAAGTATGTGGCTCCACATCACTGCAAAGTAGTTGGCCTTCACTGCCTCATAAATCACACTGCACTCGACTGCCTTCAGAAATTCCTCTGGAAAGAGACCCCAGGCAGAAAATAGCAGTTAAAAGGCCAAAAATTAAATTTCATTTCAAAATAACTGAATAACATACTCCTTTCAAATATAATTGTATGTATCTGTAACCCCCACTGTAGGTCAAACTTAAATATATTTTTCAACTCTATATAAAAGTGGTTCTATGAACCATACCCAAATTTTCCCATCCTGCTTCAAGAAATTCTCAAAAATTTTCTCAAGATAAAACTGAAAATCCACTGAATCACTCCTCTGTGGGTATACCAAATTCTCTTACCTCCTATATTCTTTATATTATTGACAAAGTTTGTATTTCTTTTTGTTTTAATCCTAGGCCCAAGCTGTAAAGCTTAATGTCATCCAATGATAACTTTGATAAGGGAGGGAGGACAGGGACATGAATAGAAGAGTTTTACCAGCAAAGGCAAAGCAGCAAAGCAGCAAAACTAATCTGTTCAATGACTTTTGGAAGACATACACTATCTTTCAAATAAAAATCTCATTGAAGGTAGGGATGTATTATATAGCTAAAAACATTGCACCTGACATTGTCTTTCTCTAATACATCACCCAGAAAAGAGGTTCACCTTTGACTATATGTCAAAGCACAACCAAATATTAAGCATGCCTAGGGAATATTACATCTTATATTATTTCTATGAGTACTGGTTCATAGCAAATGCTCAGTGTATGCTATTTACTGATCATGAAATAAGGGGGGGGAAGTACTGAAAAGTCCTTGTTCTGACCTAACATATTAAAAATAAGATTTATTTCTATTGAAGTCTCATTAAGTTCTCAAATTCAATTATAGTCCAGAGAAAACTGATGAAAAGAAAAATAACAACAACCACCAAAAAAAAGAAAACTCTTTTGGCTAATTTATAGTATATTGATCATTGCTTTATCCTAAAGCAGAAAATACAGTCTCCACTTAAAACAGTCCTGTGTCTTTTAAAAAGGTAGTAAAGAAAATGTCCTTATCAGGAAAAAATAAACTGGAAATCAAGATGACCTTACCAAATTTTTTTTTATAAAATACCATTCTTATAAAAAAAACACCATTCTAAACCAAATGGCTATGAGTTTTACTATGCTGAGTTTCAACTGTTGATTATCAGCAATGGCAGCAATTATGCATTCCTGGATGTGAAAAGTACATGTTTATAAACATCTCCCTCTAAGGATTTATAATTGGGTTACAGCTAATCAATGCCCGCTCCAAATCTAATAAGCTCACTTTTCCTATTTCAGAATCAATACTTTCTAATAAGCAAAAGGGAACAGAGAAGGGAGGGAAACAATTCCAGTCCAAAGTACCAAATTTTTAAAGAAATTAAATTCTTTTCATCACTCTCCTTCCATTTGGAGCAAGAGTAATTCAGCCAAGGGCCTCAACTCATTACTCTCTGTCATTCTCACAGGCAACTGGCATTTACCATCCAAACGGCCAACATGTGCCTGGAAACTGACACATAAAGTCTCTCAATCCTGCTGGCACTTCTACCAATGGTCTACAAGAAGCAAGAGTGTTTTTCTAAGGCGATAGAGGGAGAAAAATATAAGGGAACTCTTAAAGAGATTCCAAATATTAAGTTTGAGCTCTTAAATATAAAAATACTAATATGTGACTGGAAAGGCTGTAAATTCTAACACACCATAATGGGCACATAATAACAATAATCTGTTTAAACTGACTCAGAGCTTTTGTCCTCTTTCACAACCCTTCCATGTTGCAGAGAGAACTAGAACCAGCTAAAAAAGTGAGACACAACAGAAAGAAAGGATAGCAAAACCGAGATTAGCATGCAGATCTCCCAAACAACTATATGACATTAACTAATAAAATCATTGTGCTTCTCATTTTTCACACAGGGAAAACTGGAGTAGACATATCACTAACATCTTCCTCAACATCACTGAAATATCATAAATATAACAAATATATAAGGAGCACTCAAATAGTGCCAAGCACAAGTTTTAGCACTAAGAGTTACATGCAAGAAAATCCAGTCCTGATTTTCCAAGAATTTACAGTCTACTGGTAGAGATGGATAAATAATATCTCATAAAGCACTGGCTTATCATGAAAGATAAAGGTACCAAGGAAATGCTATAGCACCATGCAATGGGAAAGAATCATTCTGTAACTAGATTATGATCCCTGTTGATCCAAACTTTTTTTTGGTGAGAAAAATTTATATTTAGAATTAGCCAGCTGGACTCAGGTTAAATGATTCCAATTCTGTTGGCAACATTCAAAACATCATGGTAAGGAGCAAGTCGAGCATAGGCTTTTTCTCCATCAGGCCCAATCAAAGAGTTATCCTGGACAAATCAATGTCACAGAGCTTCTTTACACCTTGTTTGATCTGGTACTTGTTGGCCTTGGCTTCCACAATGAACACAAGAGTGTTTACTATTCTCTATTTTTTCATGGCTGACTCAGTGGTTGGGGAAACCTGACGATGGCATAGTGGTCAAGCTTGTTTGTCCTGGGGGTGCTCTGTAGGGAGCATTTGACCTGTCTTTGGAGTTTCAGAATCTAAAGCCACCAGAAGATGGGTAACATGCAGATTTTTGTGTGTGCGTGTGTGGCTGTAGACACCCTTCAGGACTGCCTTCTTGGCTTTTAACATCTTTGCTTTGGCTTCAGTTTTGGGAGGGACATGGGCTTCCTTCTTTGCTTTCAGCACCATCTTCATGAAAAAAGCTGATCCAGACTTTTAAATCAGGGCTTCAAACTGGTTCTTCCAAGTACAGAAAAGGCCAACAAAGCAAAAACAAGACAGACTTAAATTTGTTACATGTGAGTGAACCAGAAGGGTAAGCAAAGCAGGAAAAATTACAAGCTGACAGTCTACTAGAATCTTGACCTCCCTCTTAAAAAACAAAGGCAAGGGAGCTCTGGTGGTCTAGAGGCAAGAAGCTGTGTTGCAATCCCAAAGGCACATGGTTCGAATCCACCAGATGCTCTGCTGAGAAGGAGGGGCAATCTCCTCCTTTGCCAGTCAGATTTGATTGACAGTACACAACAAGAAAAAAAAATAAATAAATAAACAAAGGCAGTAACCAAATCTCTTGATGAGCAGAGTTGGAAACAATGGAGTCCCACTCGAAGATGGCAGAAACCACATATGCCATTTTGAAATGTCATTCTTCCCAATCATACTAATAATCCAATTTCATGCATCAGGCTCTCAAAGGGCCTCTTCCAAGTCACTCATGACAGACTAAAATTTATTTCTTCTCCCATTTCAGTTTATCATTCCCACTTTATCCAAATTTTCAAGATTAAGGTCTGTTCAAGAAATAATTAGAGGGAGCTCTGGTGAGCTCTAGTGGCAAGAAGCTGCACTGCAATCCCAGAGAGGTACGTGATTCGAATCCACCAGATGCTCTGCTGGAGAAGGAGGGGAAATCTCCTGTACCAGTCAGATCTGATTTGACGGTACATGTACACAAAATAATAAAATAAAATAAAAATTTAAAAAAATAATTATAGTAAAGGCACACAAACCCAAAGAAATGTCAGTTTAGCATTGGGGAGTGGGTAAAAGAATAGAAAAGATTCAATGACGATTTGAAAAGACAGGGTAATAACAGGCATAGATCAATAGTAATTATATAAAATGCAATGTACATGAATCAAGCACAATGTATATAAATTATTACATGCAAACCAATACAAATATAAAGAGGGGAAAAAGAAATGTCAGTTTAAGCTATAACACTTTTTTTTCCAGAAATAGACATCAGAAGAGTATATAAAAATAATCAGCCTTTTCAATTATCAGCCTTTGGAACCCTTCAACTTATGAATGGCTTCAAGCCACCCTCCCCTCTGATAGATAGCAAACCAATGATGACTTTTATTTCTAAACCTCTGGAACTGCTGGCCCCATGAACTGGACCACAATGTCTTTCTGAAGTCTCAAGTCATACAATTCTAAAGATGTATATCTTAAAATAATCAGCCACTTAAATGTCCATCACTTTACACTTGCTTCACAAAGGGAAATTGTCCCCATCAATAATGTCCATAGCATCATACAAATAGCTCCACAGTCAGACATGCTACTCCACATGCTCCTCCTGCACCTATCTTTGCTAGTCACTGGGTCTGTGAGAGAGAAAATTCATATATATGAAGAGAATTTGAATGTCTGTCAGAAACAGAATAGAAAAATAAACTACGGTCTATCATAAAATAGCACACTACATAGGAATGTCTATCTGTGTTTCATTGATTATGCAAAGGCATTTGACTGTGTGGATCAAAACAAACTGTGTGAATCTGTGTGAAGAATGAGAATCCCAGAATACTTGATTATGCTAATGCGAAACCTGTACTTGGAGCAGGTGGCAGGCATCAGAACAGAGCAAGGAAACAGTATGGTTCAAAACAGGGAAGGGTATGTGCCAGGGATGTGTCCTATCTCCCAATCTGTATGTCAAACAGATTAT